AGAGCTTTCCTGGAACAGTTGACATTTGGCGTGGCCTGGGAGGACACAGATCCAGTCAGGATGGGCTGTGGGGGCTGCAGCGACAGGTCTGCTAGAAGTCCTAGTGACAGTTTCTTTCTTCTCCATGTCACATAACTACTTTGGGTCAGTGGGGGCGGTGGGGGGGCTCTGCTCCATGCATGCCTCCTGCTGCTAGGCCTCAGGGATGGAACCCACAATATCTGGGGCATTGGTTGTCACAGTAGTAGGAGAGCAAAGCGAATCACATGCTGGCCATCCGGGGATGCCTGGGGTGGCTCCTTGCTCAGCGGGGAGCCTGCATCTCCCTCTGCCTGCCACTTCCCCTGCTTGTGGGCATTCTCTCTCTCTCTCTCTCTCTGAAAGGTAAAGAAATAAAATGTTAAAAAACAAAACAAAACACGTTGCCATCCAAAATGACACAGGTCCCTTCTACTCCACGGTCATTGACAACACCAGGAACCCCACATGCTGAACTTCAGGGAGAAAGGGGCCGGAAGGAGGAGAGGTGAAATGGGGAGTGACTAATCCTGGTGGTTTCCCCCAGTGAATGAAATCCCCACAGGGAGAGGAGGCGCAGGGGGCTTTCTGGAAGGAGAAACAGTATGGGCAAAGGTTCAGAGGTGAGGATGTGAGGGGAGGCACTGGGTAGGCCTTTCTGCAAATACTCTACAGATATTTGTAAAACACACAGTAGTCTAGTACTAGGGTGAATCCTGTCCCCCGGAAAATCATTTCCACTGGGAACCTCCGATTGAGACCTTATTCGGCAATGAGGTCTTTGCAGATGTAATTAGTTAGGGTTAGATGAGGTCTTGGTGGATCAGGGTTCAATCACACTGGTGCCCTCATTAGAAGAGAAGAGCCAGAGATGGAAACATCCAAGGAGAAGCCCATGTCATGACAGAGGCAGGGATCAGAGGGATGCGTCCACAAACCAAGAGACATCAAGGACTGCCAGCACACCTCAGAGCCTGGGAACGCGGGGTACAAGGAAGGATTCTTCCCTAGAGCCTTCTGGGGGAGCAAGGCACTGAAACTGACCTTCTATGGGGCCAAAGTTGTACGTCTCTTTGTCTATTCAAAGTAAAGGATCATTATGAGCTCTGAGCATAGGCTAATATCCAGCCTCCAGTGGAATTGTTCCTTTGCACCTTTTCCCATTGCTTGCAGCTGGATTTTATAAGGTAAGCTTGCTCTCAGAGCGCTGGGAGAATTTACACAGGTCCGCGCATGGAGGTCCTCCCACGTGGACTCCCAAAGCAAGGCGAAAGCTCCCTTTCCCTCCCAACAAAGTCCAAACAAGTCTGCACAAGGTAGGGAGAACTGGGAGAGAAGCACTTGGATCTGCTCACTTACTCAACCAATGCTTACTGGATTTCGGTATGAACTGGACCATGCGAGATGCCAGGGAAGACAGGCTGGGATGACGAATGCGATAATGATGATGATGGCTGCTAACGTTTTATCAAGAACAAGAGTTCCTTATGTGCCACACGTTGTTCTAGGCACTTTACACGTGTTAGCTTGTATATTTCTCATAGTGACCCTGGGAGAGTTAACGCTATTACTATGTGTTTTTTGTTTTTGTTTGTTTGTTTGTTTGTTTTGTTTGTTTGTTTGTTTGGTTTTTAAAGATTGATTTATTTGAGAGAGAGAATGAGAGAAAGAGAGCATGAGAAGGGGGAGGCTTAGAGGGAGAAGCAGATTCCCCGCTGAGCAGGGAGCCCTATGTGGGACTCCATCCTGGGACTCCAGGATCATGACCTGAGCCGAAGGCAGTTGCTTAACCAAACTGAGCCACCCAGGCACCCTTCTTTTTGTTTTTGATGATGAGGCTGAGATAGGAAATCCAAGCACTTGCTCTTGGGTGCAGAGCAAGTGAGGTAGGGAGGGTCAGGAAGGCAATTGTTCTTCCTAACAAGGTTGGCAGAATGATTTGTCCAGGAACTTGATAAATTAAATACTTAAAAGTGAAAGGAAGGGGGCATAGAGCGTGGAGAGATGTGTAGAGACACCTAGTTAGCATAGTTTGATGGAGGAAAGGTGGGGAGAGGAATAGGGCTACCGTCACCAGAGGGCAGCTGGGATCATAGGATGGGTCATGAATTGCAGTGAATGTGTATTTGTTGATTAGAATGATCCAGAAAGGAGGTAGATGTCGATTCCAGAGGATGGCAGAGGGGGGCCTAGGATTGGAGCTGGGAGATGCTGGCTTTTCAGGGGCATAGTCTCATCTCAACTGGAAGAAAATTTGGGACCGCAGCCTCGGGCTCCTGAGTTGTGGTGGGAAGGCCTAGTGGCCTCTCTCACCCATTTGCTCCAGGTGCTTGTGCTGGGGACAGATGTGCAGAGAGGTGGGATAACTGCTCCAGCTACCACCAGCTCCTCAGTGTTGGAATCAGGAGAAGAACTCCAGCTTTCTCTTGGGTCTGTCTCAACCTTGAGTACCCATGCGTTCCAAGCCAGGAGGTTGGGACTGGATGAATCCTATGGTCTTTTTAGTCAAGATAGTCTATAATCAAATCTAAGATATTGCTAGATAGAAACTTCCAGAGGCCATGAGTCCAGAAACTCCGATCTCATCCCGTGATGGATTTGCAGCGCACACTCATTTCTAAGCAAATCTAATTCTATTGCTGACCAGAGAGAAAAAGAAATAATTTAAACAGCTCAATTCAATTGCACCCACATTTGGCTCTAGGCGCTTTTGCTGCCTCAGCAGGTCTGGGCTGGGGGATGCGGGGGTGTGGTGGGCGGCTTTCAGCTCCTAGGGTCGCTCCGGAGGACGGGCATCTTTTACAGGTATGTGCATCTGGAGTTGTGCCAAAGTCAGTCTTTCCTCGATAGTGGCCACCTTGGGTACAAGAACGTGGTTTCATCCGGGGCTCAGTGGAAGAAACAACACAGTGCAGCGGGAGGAGAAATTGGCTGTTCTGGACCTGCGACAGAGGGGATGTGGGATCTAGTGGCACTTTCCCCAGAACATCTCCAAGTGGATTTGGACCCTGTACCCATCTCATCTCAACCTGGTTTTAGAACACTGCTGCTCTCTGAAATTCTACTCCTCTGTGGTTACAATTCTTTTTTTTCTCCTCTCTATGCCTTGGGCACCTCCCCCGCCCCCCTTGCTGGAATGTTTTCTGCTCACTGTCTTCTGGAAAGTTGGGGCTCCTATAGAGCGACTTTGAGGCCTCTGGCTGCAGGTCTGGGCCGCTCTGTGTGCTCTGCCCCAAAGACTTCCTCAAAGGAGGATCCTGAAATGGCCTCTCTTGGCAAAATGCCCATCTTTGGCCCACATACTAGCGTTTCAATTTGTTGTTGAAGGAGGAGGCAGCTTCCTCTGTAGTTTTGAACTTGACTCTGTGTCTTTGGCAGGTAATAAACCAGAGGTGCTCAAAAACAGAGGAGGTAAGGGAAAATGGATTTACGTGAGGGGGTAAAGGACTGCCAGATTTGGGAGGGTCTTCAGATCGTAGGCTGGCTCTGGAGGACGTGAACTTTCTGTTCATGACCGTGTCCTTAGTATCTAGGATGGTTCCTGGACACGGTAGGCGCTTAATCCAGGTATGGAATGAATGAGTTCGGTGTAGCCTTCTTGTTGCGTGGATGGGAAAACAGAGACTCAGTCTTCTACGCTGTGCTCCTGAGGGGAAGGACTTTGCCTCTTCAGTCCTTATCCCAGTGGCTGAGCACAGAACCGGGCTCATTGCAGAGGATCAATAAATATTTGTGGAATGACAGGAAAGGTAAATGTCAGGGCCTATGGAGGTAAATGGGCTGCACAGAGAGTCAGGTCCCTTGCCTTGAGCAAAGCATGGGCTGCTGGAGGGAACAGGTTTGTCACTAGCCAGAAGAGGGAGAGTGGGGGAAGGGCCCTTGAGCCGGCAGGGGCCTGAGGGACAGTGACAAGGTCTTCCTCGAGTGCAGTGGTTCTCAAACTGGCTGCACATTTGAGCACGTAGAGAGCTTTTAAAACACCCCAATTCCTCCTCTGCAATCCCTGAGGTTCTGATACCACTGGCCTAGGGTCCATCCTAGGACCCCTGGTAGGTGCCCTTTAAAAAAAAAATTCCTCTGGTAATTCTAATACGCAGTGTGGGTTGAGAACACGAGGTAATCTTTAAACAAAACGAGGCCGCAGAGAAGGGCAGCTAACAGGCAAAGGGTGCTCTGGACAAGGTCTGGGAAGCGGAAGACTCAGCGGGTGAGGATCCTCCCAGCCAGGGCTCCTGGGGAAGAGCAGAAGGCCAAGAGAGGGAAAGGACTAGCATGGGTGGGTTTAGAGCTGGGGAGGGGAGGGGCGAGCGGATGGGGTGAACAAAATGAACGAGATTCAGTGCGAGCGAGGATTTCAGCGGAGAGATGATGCAACAAGACAGGGGCATGGAGTGAGACTTGCAGGGAGCTGCTCGCTGGGATGTCAAGGACTTATCCAGGGAAGGCAGTTAAATTGGGTTGGGGAGCTAAGATCTTGAGACTTGGAGGAAGTAGGGATCGCCCACTAGGGATGTCAGGGTGTGGCGCGATGGGACTCAAGAAACTCTGAGACCGAGATGGGGCCCTTGGGTCACTCAGAGACACACAGCACATGCTCACGCGCGAGCACACGGACTCATCCCCCAGGGCACACGCCCACTGCACACGCGGAGGCCTTGGCCTTCCGGGGGAGGAAGGAGACCGCGCAGCCGAACCGCAGCCAGAGCTCGGAAGCCCCTCCCCGCCGCGCCCCTACAAAGGCTTGCGCAACAGGCGGCGGCTCCGGCGGGCGCGGGTCGCGCTCTGCCTGGGTCCCGCCCGTCCCCGCGAGCTGGCGGGAGCGGGAAGAGCGCCGGGGAGGAGGGAGCGGCAAGGGGTGTGTCCCCGCGGTGTGCGGGTTCCGGAAGGCCGGGGCGGGGCGAGCGCGGGGCGGGGCCGCGGCCGCGGCGCCTATAAAGTCGCCCGCCGCCCAGGCATAAACAAACCCCGTCGGGCTCCCAGCTTGGACCCAGAGAGCACGCCCGTCCTCGCAGTTCTGCTCCGCGCTTGCTGGCCGCCGCGCCTCCAGCCCCGCCAGCAGCCCCGCTCCGGCTCCTTTTGCCTTTCTCTCTATACCTTAGGTAAGCCCGACACCCTCCTTGTGCCGGGCAGGGAGGGATCGATGCCCCGTGCCTGCAGCTGCGGCTTCTAGACCGCCCTTTGTGGCCCCCAGAGCTGCAAGTGCGTGGCGACCCTGCGGCGAGGGCGCGCGGAGGGGCTTTGGGGCGGGGCCGCCGCTGGAATGGGGGGTGGGTTTCGATGAGCGAAGAGGAAGGAAAAAAAAAAAAAAAAAAAACAGGTCCCCGCTCACCTTCCCCCAGCTGGGAAAGTGGGATCTTGGGTTCCGGGGAGGGGTGGAGAGCCGGCCTGGGCACACCTTCGTCGCGCTTCTCAGCGCCACCCGGAGTCACAGCTGGCGCCGCAGGCCTGAGAGCGCACTGGAAGTGGGAGCCGGAGGAGGGCCTGGGAGAGTGCGTGTGTGTGCGCGCGCGCGCGTTGAGGTGGGGTGTATTCTCGGAGTGGGGTGTCTGAGGAAGGAGGGTTTGAGCGCGCGTGTGTGGAAAGGAGGTGAGTATGGGAGAGCGGCGAGCTGAGGCTGGAGAAAGGGGCGTGGGTGTGTCCGGTTTCCCGACTGAGCTCTGAACCGATGTGCATCTGAGGGGCGGGGGCCGATTCAGCCTCGAAGCCAGGGTGGGGTGTGTGCGTGCGTGTGTGCTGGAGGGGGGGGTTGGGAGGGAGGGTCTGAGTGTGTCACAGTGCGTGCCAGACGCGCGGGAGCGAGTGTCAGCCAGTACCGCTGGGCAGGGTGCGTCCCCGGAGGTGGCCCGGGGTTGGCGCTGTGGCGGCACCGAAGAGGTGGCCTGGTCCAGAGGGTCGTGTGGGCAAGGGACGGCCCAGCGCTGGCCAAGGCTGCGAGTGGCGTCATTTTCGCCTCCGCCCACCTCCCTGGCCCGGTCCCCCTGCCTTCGGGGACCGCCTCTCCTGCCCTCCTGAGGGAAGAACAGCTGGAATTACTCTGATGTTCCTGGGAGATCCGCGGCCTCTGATTCAGCCTGGGGCGGGGAGCGCAGGGCGTGTGGAGAGTGGTGGGCTGGGGGGAAAGGCGCTGTCACCACCTCTGTCACTTTAGTGGCTGAAGCTGGGATTTAGTGAGTCTTTCCCTTCACTGTCCCCCGACATCCCCCTCCCCCCAGCCACTCTGTCGCCTGTGCTGTCAGAAGTCCCTGTAGGTCTGGGGCAGCACCCATATGTGGCTGGAAAGGGGAGGTGCCTGGCAGCCAGTCGGGGAGAGAAATCTGGTTGGGGAAGGTTCAGGCTCAGATCTTCACGTGTTCCAGGCCCTTCAGTTCTTGCTTCCTTTAAGTTACTGGGAAAAGGTTGAAGATTCAAAGAGTTCAGCCCTTGGCCGCACGGGAGAGCATTATTCTCTTCGTGATGTCCATTGGCCATACTTAATGTTCTCAGCCACCTCAGATGAGCCAAACATCGAAATACAAACTGCTCTTGCTATGAAAATGCAGTTCGAAGACAAGCCCACCAGCCCCTCCTCCTGTACGGAAAATGCTGGGTTTTTACTGACTTTCACAGATACGAATTGAAATAAGGTAGAGAGAGTGCAAGTTCCAGTCCCTGCCTTCAGGGGGCTCGCCCTTTCAGGGAGAGAAATGCAGGCAAAGAGGATAAGTGCTGGTATGGCCTGGGTGGGGGTCCAAGGTATGGGGAGGTAGAGGTTATCAGGAAGTGATGGGGAACTGTCAGAGGGACAGTGCCCTGGTGTAAGCAGTGAAATCTGGGGTGTCCCCTGACCTGTGACCTCTTCGTTTTGTGGGGCCTCATCCTCCACAAGAGCGTGAGTTGGAAGGCTTCCCTAGCCCTGCCCCATAACCTGGTACCTGGCCCAGGAGTTCAGATGCATGCTTTGAATGAATTGAATGGCTCCCTCTCTCTGCCCCAATCCCCTGTAATCTCTTGGGTGGAGTCCCAAGCAGGCAGTTGACCTTTGGGGTGACCTTTGGGGTGGTGGTGTTTGACTTGGCTTACCAGGAAGACCTTCCAGCACCTGTTGGGATCTTCCCTCCCCAGAGCAAGGGTCTTCCGGAGCAAGAAGCAAATCCAAGACTACCAACAGTTGGTCTGATAATTTGGGATGGAATCAGGAACTCAAAACATGTTCCTGATCCTGCGTCTTCCCATTTTACAGAGGGAAACTGCGGCCCAGAGACAGGGTATGACTTGCCAAGGCTGAGCCAGAGCTGGAACTTGGCCCTCCAGACCCCTCTGGTTGCTATTGAAGGTGGTGAAAAGGGTTCTTGGTCTTGATCGTTGCCCCTCTCATAGCTGACATTGGGTCTTCATTGCATTTCTTGGTGAGGAAACTTTCCAGGCGGAATGTGGTGATTATTTATTTATTTAGTGTCAATCACATGTTCTTGAGAACTTAGCAGAATCAGTCCAGTGAGCAGGAGGAGCTGTAGCCCTGCTGAGGGATGGTTGACTGGATTCTGGCTGCCCCCTCCAGGTTGGACTTAGATCTGAACAGAGCTGGGGGCTCCCTCCACCAGGCTCACGGAAAGCTCCTGGTCTGAGCTTGCCTTGGCATGGATGGGGAAGAAGGGTTGTGTTGTGTGTTTTTGGTGGCCCAAAGCTGCCGTTCTTCCTCGGGACCCAGCTCAAGAGAATCCCATCCAAGGCGTGACTCAAAGTCCCTGTGCCTCAGAAAGGAAGCCAGGATGATGAGTCAGCATCTAAGACTCTGGCTGGGAGAGGGCAGGGAGGGGCAGGACAGTCTTCCTAGTCAGCTGCTGCATCCCTCCTTCCCCTGTCATCCTGGCCAGAGAGCTGCCTGATCTGTATTGGCTCCATTGAGTAGATGGGAAAAATGAGGCTGAGAGAGTTTGAGAGGTTGGCCCGTGGCCACGTGGCTAAAGGTGGGAGAGCCAGGCTTTGAACCCAGAGAGGCAGACACCTAAGCCTTTGTTCCTTTTCATGACAGCATGTTGGGATGACTGGAAAAAACTGGAATGAAAGAAAAGTCCAGAGATGTGATGAGGAGTGCTGTGCCTCGGTTTCCTCTCCAGTAAAATGCGAATAACAGACACTGTCTCATAGGGACATATAAATGTTAATGAATTAATCCGTCGAAAGAGCAGAGAACAGTGCCTGGCACGTGGGAACACCATATAGGTGTTTGCTGTCAATGATCCCCACAGATCACATTTCTCAAGGCATTTCCTTGGCTATCAGTTTCAGGGACTTTTGTGCTAAGTTTGCCCATGTGGTGAAAGTGCCTGCAGGGGCTGAACTCATGTTTTGCTTCTTGAAGTTCTTCCAAAAGAACTAAGCTGATGCAGACAGCATAAGAATGTAATGCGAATATTGTCTGAAATGCAGATTTCCAGGCCTAGTAAGTCTGGGAGGCGCAGGGAATCGGCACCATTTCGAAGCCGCCTGGGCTGGATTAGGGGTGGGGTGTCCTGAAGGCTGGTGGAGTTGAGGCCATCTGCTACAGAATGACTGGGGAGAGGGAAAGGAAAGGAGAGGCCAGAGCAGCCCATACTTCTGTGCCTCCACACCCTGGTGCTCCGTAAACCCCTCTTACCTGGCCAAGGAGCCTTGTGGTTTCAGCTCATCACCTCATTCAGCTGAGATAGGTGACATTCTTGCCATTTCTCAGGTCAGCAAACTGAGGCATGGGCAGATGACTTGCTTGTCTATATTCAAGTGAGTGGGGTCCTGTTCTAGGGGGACCACCCTGGACCTTCCCCTCCAGTGTCAAGATCCTCCAGACCCTTCTGGACCTGTCTTTGAAGCATGAACTTGGTTTCCTGGATTCATTTCATGCGCCCATTTCATGTGTGGTGGTTCCTGCCTGCCTGATTCCAGGCCTTGCCTTTCTACTTTTCCTTCTCCTCCCATTTGGAGACAAGAGATGGATGGAAGGTAGTGTGTGCTGCAGAGGTGGAGGTGAGTTTTCTGATGCCCTCTTGGCCTCCTGCCATGCCAGCCCAGGCTTGCTGGAGGTGGGTGTTCTAAGAGATGGGATGTGCTCCCCTTGGGGAAGGCTGTGCAGGCTCTGTGTCTGGGCTTTTCCAGTCTAGCTGAGGTGGTGGGAGATGAGGCTCGTTAGTGTCTGCGGGCCTTGAATGGCCTGTTCAGGAGTTCCATCTTTTACTTTATACTTTTTTTCTCTTAAATCTGTAGAAACCTCAGTACAGGTGTGAATCTTACACCCATGTGCAGCCTTCCTTGATGGGGTAGATGGGGACCAGAGCTCTAGGCTGTTCCCATCTCAATCCCAGCTCCACTCCCTTTGAGAAGATTCTCTACAGCTCTTGGGGCACTGCCCAAAAGTCCACAGTTCCCCAGCCGGGAACCCTGACCTCCTCCCCTCTGTCCTTTCCAAGCATTGAACTGGCCACCTTTCTCCAGGAAACTCTCCCTGGCTTTCCCTTCCAGGCTGGCATGGTGGGTCTGTGTGCCCTCCTTGGATCATTCTGGACTGAGTCTCTGTTTACCCTGTTCCTGTAGACCCTGAGGTCCTGGCACTTAGTAGGCACTCAGTTAGTGTTGGTCCGAAGAAACCCTCTGTTTATGAAGCAAATAACTTGGGCCATCCTGTGTAGGAAAGATCGGAAGACCATCCAGAGTGTGGAAACAGCGAGACCATTTTGAGCAAGGATCCTGTCAATGTGGCAACCATCCCATCTCTGGGACAAAGGGTTTTGTAGGAGGAATCTGTTTCCGTGTGCTGTGCCAACACTGGCTCTGTTTGTGGGCTTTTGATATCTCACAGACCGGCTAGGGTAGCTCATGCTTGTCCCGCAGATTAGCAGACAAATCCTTGAATCCCACCAGTGTCCTCCTTCAGACTTCCCATTATTCTGCTTGTCCTCTCGGATGGTCTTCTCTCTGCCAAACAATGGATCGGGCTGCCGAGACTCCACTGAGAAGCTTCAGGAAGATCCCCGGATCATGTTACAGAGAGGAGGTGGATGGTGATGGATTGCCAACCCTTCCCCCTTCCTGCTCTGTGTCCCAGACCCCCTGGCTAGTTCTGTGCTCTGGTTGAACACAGGCCGTC